CGCCGCGTATAATGCATGCACCTGCTGCTGCGGCGCGGCCCCGGGCCTCCGATCGCCCAAATTACACGGCGGCGGCGCGGCGGGCGCGGCGGAAGCGGAGAAAAGAGCAAAGGGAGAAGAATAAGGAGCGAAGGGCCCTTGGGCGCCACGTGCGCGGCACTAGTCGTTGCGCCGCGCAGTGGTATAAGGTTAACCAAGAGCGGCAACAACTCGGAGGAGGTCATTTTAATTTATACAATTGCTAAGAAATCGATATAATATCCTTTCGAAGCCTGTATTGTATCAAGAGATCACACAGAGAAACTGCACGTAAGCAAGGATGCCAGGATTTGATTCCCAGTCAGGGTATTTTCTATTTTAAACAATAAATCGTTAAAACTTGTGTACTAGCAAGGTCACAGCACAGAGGTTTTCTGAGCGGAACTAACCTTTCGAACTATTTCTCATTCCCAACAATTAAGTAGTAACATCCATTGCCAAACTAGTTGAAATTAAGTAGAGTACGCATTTATGTTTGACTTCGCTCACCTGTTAAACAATTGTTATCTTTCCGCGACTTGTTAACTTGTGGACTGAGTTGGTTCTCTATTTTATCTTTTTAACTCCGACAAATAAATAAATGTCGTAGTAAAATTAAATGCTCTTGGAGAGCAACACACGCCGCCATCTTGTGATTACAATCATTAATATTCTACCTAGAATAAACAAACCTTTTATTTGATATCTCATTGATTATTCACGCAATAACAAACAACTCCATTTCTGAATTATAATTTTTAAAAAAATTCTAAATATTCCAAAATACACAATCGCCTATTACTTAACAATCTAAAAGAATTAATTATGTAAAGGATTGTTTATATTAAAATGCAGAGAATTATTAGGGTGATCAGTAGTATATTTCTCATTTTATGAAAAAAGTTGACTTTTCGGACGTTACCGTGTCAAATACATACTAATTAAACTACTAAATACTTCAAATTCTATTCGAATTCGGTAACCCACAAAACGCGAAGGAAAAGTGTGAAAAATCTGCTCTTCAAGAACCTCGACGTTCAAGTTATTGAATTGCTGACGCTCTTCGCAGCCCAGAACCACTGTGAGCCTCGCTCCGCCGGTGCCCAGGGTTATGCCAGCCTAATGGCTGGCCGGCGTGGCAATGAATTCTTTGATTGCTGCGGTGGCTGAAGCCAGGGCTGGAAGCCAGGTGGAAGAAGTGGGTGTAGCGATGGCTTTAGCACCTGTAATATGAAGTTGGTAGAAGGATATGATGTACTTTTCGTTCTACTTGTATTTATTGCCAATAACAGTGTCCACTGCCTACAGATAATCCGATCAGCGTGTTGGGTTTTCTATTTTCAACCTATTTTCGCTGCACACGGAATTCCGTATCGAAGATAAATATTTTCTTTAAAATCTTGTTTTCTCAATTACTTGGAGAGTCTTAGTGAAGCGGAGATGCCCGCAACAATCACTGGGAGAGTCTAACTAGAGTGCTTTTTTACACTGAGAGCTTGGTACCCTTGGGAGCAAGGCGATAACCTCCACGGTTAAACAAGCAAAGCTTTTCACTTACCCTATTTTTATCGTTATAAAAGGAGACTAATTTAGAACTGTGCAACTTTTGTCAAAGTTAACTTTAATAATAGTTTTAGTGGGATACAATCTCTGAATTCTGGATAATCTTTATTTAGCACTCTTGAAATTGTTTCCTTATACCTCACAACAACGAAATAGACTGATTCCCAGTATGCTCAAAGATTTATTGGATCTATAATTATTTCAAGCCAGTTAAATTTCTGGCAAGTCAGGAGACAAGTTTTCTAAAAAAATGAGGTCAGAATAATTAGATACGCTTTCGTTTGTGGTTAGTTGAGTTTTTTACATTGGTTGTTGCGTAGAGCGTGTTTGCTCAAAATGCAAACTATGCTTATCGGTTTAAAAATACTGGTTGTTTATTGTCAACTATCGTTTTGTGTATATATGGAGAAAACTATATTTTCGCCGTGGTGCACCACTCCGAAAATATCAGATAAATAATGGTTGTGAAGTTCGTTATAACGTATTCGTTAAATGTATGTACTGCGAAGATTATGAATTGTTGACGTTCAAAATTGCTTGACGTCTGCTGACATCTCTTTCTATGTGGTCAGATGCATGGTATGATGCATTATATGGTGTAGACAAATGCTTCTCACATCTCATTGCATTTTTATATTTTGAAAGGTGCCTCTGAAAGGCGAAGACGTGGATATTTTTACACATGAAACAGTTGGGACACAAGCACTTATTGTTTTGCGGAGGCCACACTATCAAAATGAAGTAAAACACGATTGGTATGATCGTAGAGGGGCTAGATGGTCACATAATCAGGAAGTAATAGTTATATTGGTGCTTTTGGAGTCTTGTATAACGAAAAGTGTGACCGTACGTGCGATCGCAACTGCAAGAGCAATGGCAGCAGAGGCGGGGTTCACAGCATGACATGCTGCAAGGCCAAGCAGTGAATTTGGCGACAGCTATTTCCTGCAGAGGCGCCGGTGTGGGTGGGGCGGAGTGGGGTGGGGCGGGGTGGTGTGTCCAGGCTAACCGCTGGGGCGATCGCGCGCTTTCTCGCACGGCGACCCCGTGGCCCGGTTCGCTCGCCGCCGCCAGTGCTGCCCCCACTGGTCCGCTGCGGAAGCTCTGCCCATCGCCCGGCCATCACGCGAGTCGCTTCGTCTGATAATGGAGATGATTACTATTCTTTTTTTTCTGCGAAATTAACAACAGGACATTGTTTGTTTTTAATCCTATTTTGTATATAATCTAAATATTTTGGCTTTCCCCTATGTTGTGGTTCCATTTTACCCGTTGAAGTAACCCGTTCATTTTCACTTATCGTATAACAATGTTATTGTAAATGTAAGAACTCAATACATATTTTGTTTTCCAATAATTCAAATATTCAAAACTGTTGTTTTGCAATAACTTCAATGATGTGCCCATGTCATTTCTATGTGACAGTCGCATAACAAGGGAATGTACTCAAATATTCTTCAAATATTTTTTGCATTCAAAATGTTCTCTTTGCTTAGGCTCCTGGAGTTTTATTCCCGTGTTTTGGCTAAGTGTACTGTTCATATTGTCAAGATTATCATCTATTTGAAATTGATTTGAAACAATTGCAAAATCACTTCTTAATTATATGAATATACTTTTCGTATTTTCCTCCACATAATTAGATCACCTATTGAAACATCAACGTTGGGTTATTTTGACTTATTAGTTACTGAGTTAGTTTGCGGTTACTTGACTTTTTTTACGGTGTCGGTGATTTGTTCCATTCGATATTCATATTTAAATCACATCTTTAGAGTTACAACATTACACTTTCTAGAGTTACTTTCTAATCGATACTGCTTGACTGTTATGGTGAAGTGATTATCTTTCACATTCACTATTTGGTCCGGTGGACTCACCCTGACAGCCAAGAGTACTCGCAATTATGTAATCTACTCAACTATTTTGTTAATTATTGAACATAATCATTCTTTACTTCAAGGCGCTTTCATATCAGCGTTCATAAATTTCTACGCCCTTCAAAAAAATTATCTGATTTTTTGTATGCCGAATGGCTTCTTTCTCAATCTTCAGAAAATCTTCCTATTCAAAGCTTTTTTCCAGTTTTGAAAAGTAGTGGTCTCTAGGTGCCAAATGTGGACTGTAGGGCAGATGGTTCTTGTTTTGACGGTTTTAGGATTTTCGACCCTGACTATATAACAAAGTTCAGCAGCTGTCTGTAGGAGAATTCTAGCGACCGGCTCCGAATGATATTTTCCCACGATTTCTCCTATCAAAACTTTGCGAATGCCGGAGCAGAACCCTAACAAATGAGCCACGGACCGCGCGCGACCTTTCCTTCCCTTGCCTGTGCCTAGCGTCACCCCTTGCACACACTTACATTACATGCACTACACTACCATCCATATTGAAAGACCAGAAGGGCTTGTTCCGGCTGGCGTTGCACCTGATTGGTGAGTGATACCTGGTTGTGGAAAACCCAAAGCTAGCCGGCGTGTAGGTCAGTGCCGGGACTCGCCATTCAGGTGGGGGGGAGATAACTACCAACTCACCAACAATAAAACATGCACTACACTCACGGGAATAATGAAACGCTGTTGACGCGTTTGCAATCAACGCACGCACTGCATTCCATTCAAGCATCTCTCTTTACATTATTTAAATACATGTATAATGGACTAAGATACAAAATGTTAAAGTCACCTTTTTTAAATTTCTCATGACACCAGTTGTAAGCATTAAAATGTCATGAAAAACTACTCTGTGGCTTTTGTCTTTTACAGTTTGGCACAATTGCTTTTTCATAAACTACGAGAGAAATACACCTTTTCCCTCCAAAACATTAACAAACCAGAGTAACATATGTCATTTTGTGTCTCATGCCATGATAAAATGACTTACATAATTTAGTCATCTAAGCAGAGGTACAAATGTAGCATTACGACAATGAAAGATAAGAGTACTTCCCGGAAGGTTTCCCCATTGTTGAGTGTTCTCTTGGTCAGGCCAGACATTTTCGGAACCACCTCCTCATACATTAAAAACCTTCTGAAATGTAAAGCGACTGAGCCAAACTCTTTGAAAAGAACACAAAAAGCCACAATTGTCGAATAGAGCCTTGTTGTGATTGTGGAGCGAGTGCGACTCTTGTCTCAGTTGTGGAATTGAGCCTTGTTGTGATTGTGGAGCGAGTGGCTGAGTGCGGCGTGCGTTGCCCGCAGGGACGCGCGACCTGCGCGGGCGGCCCATCGTGCTGGCGCTGGCGGCGGAGCTGGCGGCGGCGGCGCCCGAGGCCCACAGCCTGGCCGCGCTGCTGCTCTACTACTGCTCCCTGCTCGGGTGAGTCAACGCCACAAGCTATGCTATTGTTATTGTTGCTTGCTACGCTAGTGAGGTAACGTTTTCGCCAATACGGTACTGAATTTTTAGACAAAATGAGCCTCGTGTCAACGGAAATGTGTCGGGTGAAAGGGAGAAATTATAGGAAGTAAACAGGTTTAACAACAATTAATGACTCAAAGTTATTTTTTACACATATTCTTGTTGATCTCGTAGTAAAATATGTATGATTTAAATGTTTTTTGGTATAACTGACGTCGATAATGATAAAGTATTTATAAAGCGACCCAAAATAAAAATTTGTATTTGTGAATAATAATTTTGTGTACTTTGTCGTTGCGTTTTATTTAAACAACTTATTTTAAAAAAATATTTCATGAATACTTCAGTGTTAATCGTTAGTTCTAAGGTAACTGATTGAAACACCCTAGGAGTTTTTGTGATAGGGACATTGAAATATTATCGTTGTTACGTCAGTAAGGTAATTTTATCTGCCTCTTTTCACTAAATTTCTAGCCAAAATTAGTATTATTTCGCCAGAAATACGCCTTATTGCGAGCTCAGATTTTGTTGTTTCTATCTGACGAGGAGTTTTCTGAATTAGGAGTTGTCTAATAATTAAACGAAAAGTACAAATGCCATATTGTTCTCAAAACGTATTCGACAAGACTGATTTCAAAACTGTTTTGATATCTTGTAGAACTGACAATAGAGAGTTTGAATATGTCAAAACATATTTTCGTCCTGTCACATAGAATTTTATTCCCATCCATGATATTTAGCCAAATGAAATAATTTGGAATTATGAACATTTTAACACCTTTTATTTTGAATAAATAACTACTGATTAGTTTCCATTTTGTAGGTGCCATATCATTTTTAAAGATTGCAGTCATGAATAAGTTATATTTACTTACATTCATGAAATTTTGTGTCGCATTCATTACAAAACGAAAATCTTCATTACTTCGCGATTAAAGATTTTTCTATATTTCTGTTTCCTTTCTGAAAGATCGTAAAAACACCTAATTTCTAGATTAATTTTCCTATGACACCATGAGAAATTTCTCAGAGTTGTGCAAGTACTAGTTTCGATAAATAAATCTATATGCCCATTAGTCTAAAAGAAATCTGGAGATCCCCAGTTCGGGAAAATAATCTACGTCCCTCAGAATGCATTTGCTTCAAAGTCTCGCTATTGTAACACAAATATCTCGCTTGTATTAATACAAATAATACTCTCGCACGTCACCAGACGCCGAAACCGGAAACCATTCATTTGGCAGTCCGGGAAATTCCGCCAGCAATCACATATTATTGCAAGGAACCAGTCCCCTCTGATTTAGCGCGACCGGCAGGCATACGGGTGCCTGTACAATGATCCCCAATATGTCACGATAGCCCCTTGCTCCATCTGCCTCCCTGGAGTCGCGC